TCAAAAACCCAATCCAAAATGTTCCAAATTGCCCCCACAGTAGGATTTTAAAAGGCGCCAATCTTTCTGGATTAATCTAGGATAGCTGGCATCTTGATAAGGTTGATTCTACTTAACACAGCCTCGATCTCTCTACTGATTGGTTCTTATATATGCTTGCATTGACTTTTGGGGCATACACAGAGCACATGGGTTATTAGAGGCATCTCAGACACCCCTGCCTCTGGTGAGATGAACACACACACACACACACACACACACACACACACACACACAGAGTCTTATTTATGGAGCAGTGTCTGAAGCATTTATCTAGGCATTTCATCCTAAGCGCACTCCTTTCTCAGTACTTCTTCGGCACCATCCTCCCTCCTTCCTGCCACGTGACTGCCTGTTCTGTGGAACCATTAAGTCCTGTCTGTGAGTCAGTGCTGGTTTTTGCCTAAGGGCATCTATTTCTGGGAAATGTAAACAGGGAGACACTATTTAAAGTTTGGCATCTAGGCCTTTATTTATTTATTTATTTATTTATTTATTTATTTATTTATTTGATTCTATTTTATTATATTAAAAAAGTTTTAATTCTGAGTGACCCAAACCCAGTCAATGTCTATAACACTGCAGAAATGGTTGGTATAGGAGCTACAACTTGGCCAGTCTCATGTCCAGCCCTGGTCAGTCAGTGCTTTGTGTTTCTCATCACGGTGTTGGTGACATTGTTTTGATGTAATCATCTTGACCCAGGGATGTTTCCATGTCCACTAAAAGTGAATGGTTTATCTTGTGTCATAAACAAGGACACAGCTATTACACTTCTATGAACACATACTTTAGAAACACTAGCGCAGGTATAAAAAGAATTTTGTACACACGCATTCACTGCAGAACCATTGTATTAAGGGAAGAGTTGAGAAACACAGGTGTTTTAATACAGAGCTGGCTACATAGTCTGCCCAAAATATCATGTGACTGTAAAAGAGGAAAGCACTCGTGCACACATGCTCTTGTGCACAGACACACACACAGACACACACACACACAAGACGGGTGGTGATGGCGCACACTTTAATCCCAACATTTGGGAGGCAGAGGTAGGCAAATCTCTGTGAGTTTGAGGCTAGTCTGGTCTAAAAAGCAAGTTCCAGGATAGCCAAGACTACATAGAGAAACCCTGTTTTGAAAAACCAAAGGTGGGCTGGGGTTGGGTGGGGAGAGGAGAGCAAAGCAAATTACATAATATTCATCTATATTTTTCTTTAAAAATGATGTGTGTGTGTGAGAGAGAGGGGGGAGGAGGGAGGGGGAGGGGGAGAGGTAAAATAGCAGGAAATAATGCTGAGAAAACAACAGCAGCAGCTCCCCGAGTGGCGAGTGGTGGAAAGCAGTTGGAGAGGAGACTGGGATGAGAAGGCTTCTCACTGTGGAGTTGTTCTGATTCAAGGGAAATTTCAGCAACAAGAATGAATGGCCTATTTTAGTTTTTGTTCCTGGAGAGTCTTGCTATAGTCCAGGCTAACTCAAAACTTGCTGTGTAGCTCAGGCTGGGTTCAAACTCAACAGTTCTCTTGCTTTAGCTTCCCCAGTGTGGGCTGGCTGTTAATTTGTTCTTTCCTTTTTTTTCTTTTCTTCCTCCTCCTTCCCCTCTCTCCATTTCTTTCTCCTCCCCCCTTCCTTCCTTCCTTCTGTCCATGTGTTATCTATAACAGATGTCTTCACCCCATCTCAGATCCTTACCTGGTAACCAACATTTCCCCAGCCCATATAAACTTGTCTGAGCCTTACCCTGCTGTGAAAAGATGCCTGTTTTTGTGTGCTATTTTGGTGATTTAAGACCTGATGTAGTTAGTATGAATAGGTAGTTCAAAATGCTACCCGCTGCCCCAGGACCAGCTCAAAAGAGGTGTGAAAAATAAAACTAAGTAGACTAAGAAAACTCTGAGGGTTTGGTGCAAGATGTCTACACTCACATGTATTCATTCAACTGGCAAGTAGATACTTGCTTTAATATTCTGGCTGCTTTGCTGGCCATGATCACCATTGTATGTAGGCCACTCATTTTGGTGGTTAGCTGTTGGGAAGCTTCTCAGCTTGGCATGTGATTTTTGGCAGTGGTGTTAGCATGGTTTCCATGCTTCCTATCAATATGGATGTGGCTGTTGCAATGCAGTCATCTTGACCAATGGAACAGAGGACAGGAAGAACAATAGGCTTCCTAGCTGCCCCTCTGATGGAGATAGCTGGGACTCTCTGTTCTGCCACCACTGGCAGGCTCGAGGAGAAGGTGTTTGACCTTGCACCTTGCATGAACCTGTTAGCTGTGGTCTGGAATGACCTTCACCGTCAAAGATGTCATGAGCTAATGAAGAACTGCATTCGGCAAATAGCAGCAGTGACTTGCTTTTCCAGAAGGCATAATGCTGACTGCCGACCGGTTACACACTGAATTATTGGATGCATTTGTTTTGCTGTGTTGTACCCTTTCAGCCAAGGGGCATATTAAGGTGATAAAAATGAAAAGCCCCACTTCGATGTTGAATAGTGTAAGCTGATAAATGCCAGTGTCAGGAGTTTACTGAGGACACGGAGTTTATTGTTCCTTTTCCTTATTTTTTGGCTAGGTCGTCTCAGGGTATCCAGAGCTATAAAAAGACACATGGGAATTGCAGAAGTAAAACAATGATGCAATTCTAGCCTCTTGGGTCCTTTGCTAAGCCAGACTAAATTTTCCCTGGGAAATGAAGTTGTCTTATGAAAAGGAAGATGAGGTCACATCTTTGTGTGTGTGTATGTGTGTGTGTGTATGTGTGTGTTGTATGTGGTGTAGATATGTGCTGTATTTGTGAGTGTGTACATATTCGATCAGAGGCCTAAGACTGATGTCTAGTGTCTTCTTCAGTCACTCTTCATCTTATATTTTTGAGCCAGGATTTCTCACTATATCTGGAGTTTATAAATTGGCTAGGCTGACTGGTCTCAAGACCTGGGGATTTGCCTGTCCCTGCCTCCACAGTGCTAGAATTCCAGACACATACTGCTATGCCAGGGTTTTACATGGATGCCAGAGATATATATGTAGGTTTTCACATCTGTGTATCAAGCACTTTGCCCACTGAGCCATCTCCATATCCATAAGTCTTGTTCTAATTTTGGGCTATATTGCATCTCAAAGTGAATGCCTGGTATCCCATCATTCATAAAATCTCCCTTTGAGGGTGATACTGCTCTTGATTAAAATACTAATGGGCATTGATGGAGAGAGCATGTCCTACTTAATGGCCATGGGTGGGAGCCAGATGGGAGGGTGAGTAAGATGGGCAAGGGACTGAGAGGCTGTGCATGGAGCCAGATAAATAAATAAGATAATACAGAAAACAGTTGCAGGGCTAGAGAGTTGACTAAGCAATTAAGAGCTCTTGTTGCTCTTAAAGAGGACCCAGATTCAATTCCCAGCACTCACATGGCAGCTCACACCTGTCTGTAACTCCAATTGTAGGGAATCTAACACCTCAAGGCATCAAGCACCTACATGATATGTACACATACATGACAGCAAAATAGTCATACACATAAAAATAATAAAATAAATAAATGCAAAACATTAAAAAAGAAAGAAAACAGTTGCTGAAAAGGATGAGAGAGGATCTATGTCAAATTTCATGTGCTTTTCTTGCTTGCTTAGAATTTGTGTAGGATGTTCTGTATCGAAGGGGAACACAAAAGATTAATACGTGCATTCGTATTTCTGATTTCACTGCAAATTCTTCGTGGGGATTTCCTCCTGAGGCCTTGTTTACCTGGTGGACATATATTGTCACTGGCGATCTTTGGATTTTGTAATTAAAAATTGCAGTGTCAGGGTATGCTTAATGTCTGTAAGGAATCAGACAGCCTCAGAGATGTTCACTTATTTAAGAAGTCACATGGGGAACCTGTCATGTCTTGGCAGAGTTTGGCTGTTCTGTCACTAGAGATTGTGATTGTAGATAATGCTGAAGAATTGGAAACTTAGCCAATTAACTTTTATGATTTGATGTTACAGTGACACTCTGTGTGGATAAACACCATGAGTTCATGTTTGGATAAAAAAGCAATCCTTTCCCTTTAACAAAAGGCTCTTTCATGATAGTGGTGACAAAGTGGCAAGCTTCAGTAGGTGTTGCTAAGGGAGGTGCTCTTGGCTTTTATTTCTGAGATCCTTGTTTTCACTTCCACATCAAGGTTAGACAACTGAGCTTAACTTCTTTATAAGTATTATAGCAATGTTAAATACAGTGGTCTCCCATGCAAAAACGTGGGCTTCACAGAGAACCAGTCTGTCATCCATCCATGCAATGCACACTCATCGAATTTTTTAAGAGACAGTTACACAGCAAGATGGGCATTTTGGATGCAGTGATGAGCAAGAGCAGACTGAATCTCAGTCCTGCCACAGTTCACAGCCTATGGAAGCAGCAGATGTTGATCAAATACCACAACAATACACGTACAAAGTTTGGCGAGTGCTATGAAAAATAGGTATGCCGTTGTATGAAAGCATATAATAAATATAATAAAGGGATGATGTTTAAAGTGAGATCAGAGGTTACACATAGGGCCAAGCAGGTGAAAGCCTGTTTGAGGGGCTAGGAGAGATAAGAGAGGGTCGGTACACAGAGCATTTCAAATATAAAAGAATTGAAGAAGTGGGAAAGGCCCGAGTCCTCCACAGACTCACTCCTTTTCATTTGACTTTGGCCATATCCTTTTACTTAAATTCTTATTGGAAAAAAAAGTGGAGTTTTGATGCTAGCTTCTTATCATGATAAATAGCAACTGTTCCCTCCTTGATTAAAAGCTGAGCAGACCTTTTGAATTTGGAATGAATGGTAGGTAATGGCATAAGCTTTGCCAAAAGCTGCTTCTAAAAAAAAAAAAATAAAAAAAAATCCAGCTTGGCACTGAGCTGAATTTTGTCATGTAATAAATGTCCAAGTTCCTCCAATCATGATCCCATTGGACCAGCACTCAGTGCCTCTAAGGGAGAATTACACATTTTGTTAGTCACCTCTGGTCTGCCTGGATCTGATGAGTCATCAGACCTGCTGCTCTGGGTAAGCATATTATATTTCCGGGTACAGACGGAGATTTTTCTCTTTAAAGAGTAATTGCTCAGGAAACCAAAACAACCCACCTCTCTTGCCATTTTAAAAAAGAATTCTCTCTCTTTTCAGGTTGAATAGAAGTGTCTAGCCACGTGGATGACGAATCCTGGGCTAATTTGATTTTGCTAGGAATCCATTTGAAAAGCAGCTCAGAGGTAGGCCAGTGAGATGTGGAGATTCTTTTACTCTGGCTTCTGAATTCTTGCAGATTTTCCTATACAAGGTTAGGGCCTGGTTGGTTTTGAAGCAGGCGAATGAATGCCATTGAAAAGCTGTCCCCATGTAAACAGGCATTTTAGTGCAAAAACAGTGCCACCTTTTACCAAGAGGCCTCAGTAGGAAGAGATGCAGCCTTTGTTTGTGACCTAGGCCCAGGAGATGCTCAGCCAGAGGTCAGGCAGTGTAGCCAGCTCCCTCAGATGGAAGCTCTTGTTTCTTAGGTGATTTCATTTGTCCTTGGGAAAGGGAACTCTGAAATTGCCCTTCCTGGCTACTGAAGGGACAGATCCATCCATCACCGTTGAGTGAGGGCTTGTCATTGATGTGGGCGATGTCTACCTCAATCTCCAGCCTCCTGTCAATTAACTCTGGAAGCAGAGGGGTGAGTAAATCAGAAGGGCAGGAAACAGGCTAAAATTAGCTGCAAAGGGAGACCGAGCTGAAATGTCTCTTCTGACAGTATTTGGTTTCACAGTTCCTATCAGATAATGGTTCTGCTGATTACAAAGAGTTGGGGCTTTGGAAGTAATTACCCTTGACTGCTGCTTTGGGAATGAGCAGCCACCTTTCTGAGTGTTATTGGCTCAGGCTGACCTTTGGGTGGTCTGAGTACCCAAGTGGCTTATGCCACAATGGAAGCCAGTGGCTGTTGTATCAACTGTCACTCAGCATGGCTCTTCTTGTGTCTGTGGACATCTTCTCATGACATATGGGCCCGACCATGATCTCTTATGGAACCACAAGAACTGATGCTCGCCTTGAAAGGAAAAGCAAAACATGTAAGAATATGTTGGGGAGGCCATCTTTCTTCCCAGCCACCCATCAGAGAGTGCTAGGACTGTGAGCTCTGGTCCCACAGGTATGGTTTAAATCCTAGTCCCACCTTGGTGAGACTCATCTTTGATTCTCAGTTTCCCTACCTTCAAAATGGGGGCAACCATACCAACCTTATTGTGGGAATGAAGTTGTAGAATAAATGTATGTTTTCCTGGCTTGACATGTAATAAACAATACAGGTTAATGTTGGTAGTATTAGTCAACTAACATGTAGAAAATGTCTGCCATATGTTGTGTATTATGAAAGATACCCCCAAAATCCTAAATGTAGTTTCAGAGAAAAGTAGGAACGTGACGATGTGAGTGCATCTCACTCATGCCAATGGTCATAGGCAAAATACAATTAGAACTCAGAGGAGAGAGCAGCGGATAACAAGAAGTTCAAAGATCACTGGGACTTAGTCACAAAAGGCTTCCTGGGAAAGGGAGGCATAAGATGCAGTGGGATGATATGGGATTTAGAATTCTCCTCTTTCAATCGTGTCCCCAACCCTAATCACCCTGATCACAAAGGTTGGCTGAGAGAGACTCTGGAGGACCATAAGTACAATCCAGGAGGATAATCTTAGGATGTAATTCTTGGGTTATTTTGCTATTGGCCCAGCTGTCAGCTACACATTCATCTCCCGCCAGACGGTGCAGCCTTCCTCTGTGACTGCTTGCTCAGCTGAGAGAGAACTAATTCCATCTTTGAGCATTCATTCATTCAGATCCCATGTTACTGAACACCCAACATAGATTCTAAGTGCTGGAGACAGAGAGATGAAAAGGCTTGAGAACCATCTTCATCTTCATCTTCTTTCTTTGGACAACTAAGTACGCAGTCCTTGGATTGCAGATGGACGCAACGGTGTCAGTCTCTATAGGTCCGGACTTTCAAGATCAAGTTTGCTACACTGATGGCAGAGAGAGGGGGAGCATTGAGGAGCCTTGGACTTTAGCAATGAGCACCGGGACCCTGCAGTTTAAATAACACAATCTCTCTCTCTCTCTCTCTCTCTCTCTCTCTCTCTCTCTCTCTGCCTTCATGCTTTTTCTCAAAAGAGAGTACACTTTTGCCCCTTTCCTTACAGAAGTGATGTAGAGAGTGCTTCTTGGGACCCCCTCCCCTTTAGTTGATCCTCCTAGCTACCAACCTGGCTGGTCAGTGCCTGGGGTTTTTTCTCTGAGCTGTATTTACCTATGGGGCAGGGTCAGTGTGCCTTAAGGCATGGTCCCATCCCACACTGACTTGCTGCCATCTGTGGCAGTGCAGGATGTTCCCCTCCATTCCTGCCCTATGACATCCTCTCCTGTAGAGTTTGGCCATCTTCCCAGTTCTTTTTGTAGGGCCTTTATCCAAATGGGTGAGTCAGGCCTGCTGTCATCATCCATGCTGCTCTTGGGTTGGACCATTCTGTCTTTCCCAAGATCTAAGATAAGGAAAGAAGGGTCAGGAAGATGGAAGGCCATTTCAGCCTAAGTATGTTTTCTCTCCAAATCTTGTGGAGTTTAATAGCTTGTATTTTGCTCGTCTAGTGGTTTCTGTGTAGAGTGTCCATCTGCCACATTGTCAGGGGGAGGAGGGCAAGTTGCACTCCATCTCAGTAACCACACACTTGAGACTCAATTTTGGGGTCAGATAATCAGGAATGTTTATTTTTCATCTGATAGTTTTCACTGTTGGGTGACTGTGACAGAGAAAAGGTGATGTTTTTGTCAAGTCTATTTTCAGGCAGACTCCTCTGGGCACATGGAAAACGATTTCTTAACCCCAGTGAAATCTGCTGGCCTGTGGCTAGTGTTGGTCACCCAGCCTGCCTGAGGTGGTGAGGAAATCCATTCTGATTCACCTGTTTCTCTGTCTCTCTTTTAGTGACTGTGTAGACCTCTTCCAGATGATGGACCTCTAGTATGTCTTGGAAGGGAGATTCATGGAGCTGATTAGCTACAGAGAACTCTGTGAATAAGAAGTAAACTGTGGCTGGTGTTGTGATTTGAATGTGACATGCCTCTCATAGACTATGTGTTTGAATATTTGGTCACCTTGCTGGAGAAATGGCTCAGTGGGGGGTAGGTCTTGAGGCTTTATAGCATGACTCCACTTCCTGTTCTGATATCTGTTTGCTGGCTGTGGGTGCAGTGTGGCCAACTCATTCCAATGCTATGCTTTGCCCACTGTGATTGCCTGTATATCTTCTTAAGCAGTGATCTCCCAAAACACAAACAAACAAACCCTCCTTTCCAGAAATTGCTTTTGTCAGTTATTTGGACTTACCAAGAAGAAAAGTAACCAATATTGTTGGGATACTTCACTGGGATTTTTGTTATTGCATCATAATCTAACTAATTCTGACAAATACAGAAATCTTATGTGCCAATATTACCTCCTACTTTCCATTGTCATGGTTCCTACTGCTTTTCACAAGGACTTCTTTTTTAAAACTTTTAGTGTGCATGTGTGCATTTGTGCATGGTGTGTGTGTGTGTGTGTGTGTGTGTGTGTGTGTGTGTGTACACTTGCACTGTGTCATAAGTGTGGTCCATTCTCTCCTACTTTGTGGGTCTGGGGGTCAAACTCAAGGTCATCAGGCTTGGCAGCAATGGTCTTTACCTGCTGAGCCACCTCACTGGCCCACAGCTAAGATTTCTATAGCTGGAACTTATGATGCTTCAGCCTTTTTCTCACTGCTTCTTGTTAATTTCTTTTATCCCTGAACTTTTAGAAACTTAGTGGATGGAAGTAAATGTCCCATTGTTGTTCTGGTTAGGGTTTTGTAAACTTGACACAACCAGTGTCGTCTGGGAAGACCAAACTTCAATTCAGATAATGCCTCCATCATATTGGCCTGTAAGAAAGTCCATGGGGGAGTTTCTTGAATAATGATTAATGTGGGAGGACCCAGTCCACTGTGGGCGGTATTATCCCTTGTCATATAGTCCTGTGTTGTGTAAACCCCAAAAGCAAGCCATGGATAACAAGCCAGTAAGCAGCATTTCTCCATGGGCTCTGATTCAGTTTCTGCCTACATTCCTGCCCTGACTTCTCTTCATGATGGATTGTGACCTGGGAGTTTTAAGATGAAATAAACTCTTTTCTCCCCAAGTTGCTTTGGTGACATAGCAATAAAAAGCAAACTAAGACAACTGCCTAAGACAAGAAAAATAAATAGAAAATAAAAGGAAATATATTTGTTTCAGACACATCTGTCTAATTCTATGAAAATGCTGAATTTTCTTAATTCAGATTCACTATAACAATATCTGAAGTTCTCTGTCAGAGGAAGGATTCAGTTTCTGTGGGTCATGGGTAATCTCATAAGAGATTTCCATGACCAAAATTACCATGACAATCTTTAGAAAGGACCCCACAGCTCTGAAAAGTAAACAGCCTCTAGCCCTTCCAGCCTTTTTATCATAAGGGGAACTCGGGGACAGTATTTGTAACTATGGAAAACGGATAATAGAAGGCTTTTACAATTTTCTCAGAGGAGAACCATGCTAATGTCCCATGGCCACCATGGCAAAATGCAGCTGCTATTCTGTATCTGCCAGTTTGACACATACTAATTCAACCCACTGAGTATTGAAAATACTTTTTTTTTAAAGGTTGCATCTGTGCTGTGCACACATGGGCTTTTCTTTTGCCACAACTCCTTGAATCATACAACCCAATAACTATTTGCCCAGCATTTACATCAAATTAAGGTATTATAAGTAATCTAGAGATGACTAACTGCATTTGGAAGGATGCTCATTGTTGTAAGCAAATAGGTGATATTTAAATACGAGGGATTTGAGCATCTGAGGACTTTGGGGTCTGAGGAGATCCCAGAAGCAATGCTTGTGGATACCCAGGGATGACTGTAACCCAGTTTGGATGACTTAAATGACAAATGCATTTTCTCACAGTTCTAGAGGCTGAAATTCAAGATCAGGATGTGGCCTGGTTTGTTGCTTAACGAGTCTTCTTTGCGTGTACATGGCTGCCTTTTCTGCATTCTCACAAGACTTTTCTTCTGTGCATAGAAGGAGTGAGGGGGCGCCTCCGTACATATGCGTGTGCTTCTTGAACATCCCTTACTTTCCTTAAAAAAGATTTATTTGTTTTGCATACGTG